TGACAAGATGTGCTCACTTAACGTTGCTTGACTCGTGATATTTTTGCTTCAGATCTTTCGGTAACCTGCAGATACCAGGCATAAAACGGGACAGGCACCATAAAACACCAAGTGTACCGTCAATGGATGCCCTAATATGTGTGAAACAGTTCTCTAGGAACGCTTAATTTTTTAACTATATGGTTAAATATGCTGGATGGATGAGGGTTGTTATGTATTAAGTGTAATTTTTTTTCTTATGGCACTTTATTTTCAGCCGAGTTTCATCGATTATTTATGGTATTTCTATGATTTCCTTGCGCCCCACGATGAAGTTGATATTGCCTGATCCCTGCTTGCTTTACTTTTCTTCAACGCGAGGTAAGTTGGACTGCTCGTATTGCTCTAATGGGTCACTGGGTGAAACATAAAACAAACTGATAAAGAAAACCGTGTTCGTTCGCATAGGCAGTGATTTAATTAGCCATACATTCACCGACGTCTCGGTTTCCTAATTGAACCTGATTGCACTATTGCGTTCAGCCCCACCTATGTAAGGCCGTTGTGAAATCTGCTTTTGTAATTTCTCTTAGAGCATTAATTTTCGAGGCATGACTCGCATTCCTGTTTTTTTTTATAGCGGGAAGTGGAAAACTGAACCACAGGATTGGAAAAAGATTATGTCTTGCTGTATTTCAAAGTCGCACCAGTACCTCGTTGAAGCCCGTGTACATAAATGAGAGTCTCTTCCATCGCTATGAATATAAACACTCTCTGTAAAATGGGAAGTCGCGGCCCCTTTCATTACTGAAGATTTTAGTCAGAAACCGCAAAATATCCTTCTTCGTAACCTTCTTAAACAAAGTGATTGCTTGTGTGTGTGTTTACGTTTTCATTAACGCCTATAAAATTGGGGTGACTTTGAAGAAGGGTTTCTTGAAAAGGTCGTGGTAGATCGATGCTCATGTTACTTAGTGTCCCCATTATATTGTGGTGTAATTGGCTTCTTGGCTTCAGAGACCACCCTGCCTGAAACTACGCCCAGTGATGTAGTGCAGATCAGTAGGTTAAAACTTTACCGCCTGCCTTGTGAAGACCGTAATTAATATGCACCGAGACGGCACTTTTACTGCCTGGGGGGTATGCTACCTTGCTGACATATCAGCGATCAGACATTCTGCACCCCGAATACGACGAAGAAGAGGGCTGGTCTGTCCGCTGTGTGCACTGTCCTCCATCTTGGTTGATGCTATACATCATCATCATCATCATTAGCCTGACTGCGCCCACTGCAAGACAAAGGCCTCTCCTATGTTCCTCCAGTCAACTCGGTCATGCGCTTGCTGCTGCCACTTTTGTACCCGCAAACTTCCTCATCGGCCCATCTTACTTACAGTCTCCCCCTCATCCGCTTTCCTTCACTGGAAAAACAGTCAGTTAGCCTTATGCAACAGGCCTTACGCATGATGATGCTTAATGATGCTATACACATCAGTGTAAATACAGCTTGTGAATAGTCACGCCTCCGTCATTGTTCCGTAACAATATTTTAGATGTGGGTGAGAGAGAGAGAGGTTCATTTACAAAATGGCGCAATGAGTGAGTGAGTGATTGAGTGAGTTAGTGAGTGAGTAAGTGGGGTTGTGTACCGGGTATACTGTATAGCCCATATACCAAATAGTCGCTTCGCGCGTAACTTGCTTCGGAGAAGAAGTCACAGCGTCACACGATGTCCCGCAACTACAGAGAAACAAAACGACAAAAGCAAATGTTTCCAAAAAACAACGCCACGCCTCATCATCTCGCCCGCCTTGGAGTGGCAAAACGGGACACGCGACGTCACTCTCTACGTATTCACAGGGCCAGTCAATCAAATTATCAGCTAACATCCTCACTCTCTAAACGGCTGCGAGTTCAGCTAGTTAAGGGCAGTGAAATCGCCAGTGCACGCTTGGAACTCGCTCCCCAAATCATGCGCTCTACAGCGAGCGCCGGGCACTGATGAATCTGCCCAACGAATGTGTATACACGAAAAGCGCGGCCCCTTTCCGAGGGAATGTTTGCGCAAACAATTTAACTGGTTGCCAGCGGGCCCCAAGGAAATTTCCTTGCGGAACCAGTGGCCTATGGAACACCCCTCCCTCCCCCTTTCTGCCAAACACAAAGCCCCCGTCGGCCAGCCTCCTTTGCAGAGCTGGCTCTGAGAAAAGCATTCACTCTCCGCTATTGTCTCAGCACCAGCGTCCGCCATATTTTCGCTCTCTCTCTCTGCCAATGTTCGTGTTTACTTTCTACGCATTGGTTCCGAAGCAAATATTCTCGCGAAGACCTGCAATGCGTTTCTAACCTGCCAGCGTACGGGTGAATCGCTTCCCATCGCACCGGAGAGAGACAAAAAAAAAACGGATTATGCGTCAGTACATAAAATCCAACTTAGCGATGATCAGAAAATGAATTGCGATCTGTATTCACGTTCCGTGCGTTGGATCCCGACGCTCCGAGAGGGTGTCTTCAAGTAGGAAGCAAAGCGCGCCTCTTTCTGCCTCCTCTTCAAGGAGGTACATGCTCAACATATTTCTCTTAAACGACATATAGGGGACAGACTGTCGTATTTGGGAAAGTGATGCTTCGACGGCAAGTCACGTTCCATGTGGGCATGCGACGCTTGCCCCCAACATCGAGTGGTCAGCAAAGTCTGATACGGACAAAAAGGCATTATTCGATCGGGCGAGCCCCTCTCTCTCTCCTTGGACCCCCGTTGCCATAGAAATAGCGATACCGAGATGAGAGGAAGATCAAAAAGAAGCCTCGTTCCGAACCTGTGCGAACTGCAGTGCAGCAAGCAAGAACGTCGTTTTCTACAGCTTGCATAAAGAGGACGTCATACGTATCACTTCCTACGCTGACAGTTTTGCGCTGTTATCAGAAAATCCCCGTCGTTAGTCGCAGTTAAATGATGGAAGAATCAAATATAAAAAAATGATACATTCATGAGAGAGTAAACCACGAAAACATCCCTTTTTCTTCAAATATACAACATGGTTTGATGTAATCATTGTAAAGACTGAAAGAGCAGCAAATAGAAAGAAAAACTTGTCACTAGCAAATATGTCCATAAGCCAGAACAATCGCAGAGAAATCGATGCGCCATAGTTTTCCACGTATGACAAACCCTTCGTTTTCTTAATCTAATTATTTTCTTTTAGGGGCGAAGCTCCTTATAGCGACACTCGTTCGTCCCTCGTAGCCGTCGTAGTAGTGTGTAACAAGTATAACATTTTGGCCTCCAAGCTGGTGCCGGTGAGAGATTTCTTCTGTGCGTTGTTGAACAATAAAAGATAGTGCTCAATGTACATGGCTTCTAAGGGGGAATGAGGGACAGGAGAATTCGGCGTTTAGTTAACGCGCACGCTGCGAATTTTTTAGTGTTCAACAACGCACAGAAGACAAGAAAGGGTTGCTACGTTATACTCGCTGGGCGTAATCTCCTAGGTTTTAGAAAGGTTTGGCGAGCGTTGTGCCGCAGTGCCATGAATACACTGAACTAGTATATGCCATGAACTCGAGGTGGTTAAAGGTGAGAAGTAGACACGAAGCGGAAGCCGTAAGAAAGTGTGCGTGTGCCTCCTCTCATTCAGTCTTGGAATGTCCGCTGGATGGCGGTGCTTCTATATGAGGAATATATGATGGAAAGATGCGAGATGGTGGTACTTGGAGTGTTGAATAGGTGGACGAACGGACACACAGACAGATGCATGGACAGACGCACGGATGGCTGCACGGACGGATGAACGCATGGACGGACGCAGGAGCGGATGCATGGACGAAAGCAGGGACGGCCGCACAGATGAACGTCGGACACACGAACAGGCGCAAGCGCGGACGGGCGGGTGGACGCGCGGGCGGCCACACAGACGCACGCACGGATGGACGGAAGCAAGAACGAATGGACGGACGGATGCTTCGCGCCACTATCCATCATTCACTTCGTGGATATGCTGCCATTTTTTTAGCAAACGTGCATAATTATTCTGTACCTTCTATTGTGTAAATGCATCACCACACTTATTTTTTCACAATCGTTCACCTGAGACAAAGGGCCAATAACGGCAATTATTCGTTTTCGACATCGCTTTGTCACTGCAGTTTTCTTTTTATTTGTTTATTTAAGGTAAGCCCCAAACTTACTTCCCTTTTGTATTTTTCCGTGTCGCATTTTTTTCTCTTTCTTTTCATTTCCTTTCGTATATTGTTCCTGTCCTCCACTTGCCCAAGTAAGGTAAACACATTTGTTTGTGAACAACATCGACACATAGCGGGACTATAACGCACGAAACAAGATAATTATTTATGTCGAAACTGTTTAATGACTGGTATACGTTGTTTATCACTTACGCCCAGCTTGCACTAAATATCTCGTTTTCTTGTCAAGTTCTTTTGTTTGCTTGGTTTTGTAAGTCGCCTGCCCCCGCTCACATATCCCTACCATATATTTGGTTTATTGCAGTCGTGAAGAAGTAAGCAATATCAAGACAGGTGTATAAAGGCAATGCTTGGCTCCGATGTTGTTCACGTGGCTCACTTTTTTTTTTCATAGTGTGGATTGCAGCACTGCAATAAATGTTTGTGATCGCAGTAATCTCCGAGTGTTTTTATGGCTATATCGCTCTAAAGTAGGCGCCTGTCTGGTTTACGATATTGGCCCGCAAAGAAGGCCGGTGATAATCAGGGTTCGTTTTTACCCTGTTGAAATGAGGGCAGAATAATGAAACACAGGTAATAAGTCCTGTTTTGTTTTGGCAACGCTTTTTTCGATTGTCAGTTCACAATATGCGTACGACAATGCACGTACGTGTCCGAAGTGCAGCCTTCATTTCATCAACGCATTTGAATGAACTCCTTATGTCCTTACAATGTGCCCTTTGTAAACTTGAAACTTCTGGGATGTCGGGAAGACGAAGGATGGATCCCAACATGAAAAATTAACTGTTCATTAACGTGGTTGCAACAGCGAGGCGAGCATGACGACACAGCACTTGCATGGTTAGAGAAACAATCGTGAAACCGAGCTTGGTAGCTTGCGTTATACCGGTGTCACACGGGCTCTTTTAATCGCGATCCGTGCGATCCGGATCAGTTTTCTTGATCAACCTAATGACCACTGCTGCACGGCTCAAGCTAATCCGGTTCGAGTTTGGGTCAGATTAAATTCTCCAGGTGGCAATTGCGTGCCGTAAAACATGCCACTAACAAAACTGGGCGTACGGTATATTTATAGAGCCCTTTATCGTAATGTTTTTCGTGTAAAAACCACTCGGACGTCAAAACTTTGCATGCCGCTACAATAGTTCATAAATCCATCATTCGATAAAATTTTCCTAGCGCTTACCTGTGTTGCTGTGCGAGATTCTTAACCTTCGCTTTTATCTCTGATGGCCCCCGCTAGTAGACGTGCAGTCGCAGCGAAGCGTCAATCTCGGTGTATACGCGCCAGTGTTTCACTTCTGGCGCCTCAAGTCTGTTCCGGTCGCTCCTGCCAGCAGTCACTCACTGCAAAGGTCCCTTCATTCGACCACGAAGTACACGTACGTCGAAACGTAGTCGAAAGGCTTGCGACACTCGTAATCAGTTTGCTTCGAGGGGCTCGAACAACTCCGTCGGCGCGAAAGTTGAAACTATGCGCTGAAGGCAACGGTCGACTGCTTGTCGTCTGCTTCTCCCGTAACTAGATGCGGTCGATGCGAATCCTAAAATATTCAATACTTCAGATATTGCTCCAAATTAAACAGTGCAGAATTCGCTTCTTTGTTAACACCTAGCTTTTTTAAAGTGCTTTGATTGAACTATGCTCGATTTTTTTTTGTTGATTGTGCTTTCAACAAGGCCGGCTAGGGGGTGCAAACGACAGCAAAATCGCGATCTCTCAGGCAGATCGCGACGCGCGGATCGCGATAGTCTTGATCCCGATCACGCCTGATCGTGATTAAAAGTGACCGTGTAGCGGCACCTAATCTGGATCGTGGTCAATCCGTATCGACACTGATCGCGATTGAAAGTGCCCGTGTGACACCAGTATTGTAGAGCCACCAGTGGTGACGTAAGCCTCCAGTAAAGTTGCGGTGGCGCTGTCCCTTATCGGAAGCGGTAAAGGGCTTCACCCTATAGTTCAGGATGATGGCACAGAGTTTTTCAAAGCACTGGGGTTTATGGACAAGGAGGGCAAAATAGACTTTAAGCGGGTAAACTTAACTAGAAGGAGGTTATCTGATTGGTGGTTAAAGTCAAGGCACGAGGGAGAATTGAACCCTTCACTGCAGAGTACGGGTCCTCAACCTCACAATCTAAAGAAAAAAAAGATAAATCTAATGGTTAGTTCACTAAGTATTACGGCGAGGTGGCGTTAGCCGCCGCCCAATCTAAAGGGTACAGCCACATCTATCCATCCATCCATTCATTCATCCAGCGTGTTGCATTAAGTAACTGGCCGTGTCACGCCGGGCTAACCAGTGACGAGACGGAGGCTGCGCCGCAGGACACCCCCCCGGAGTGTGGAGCCCTCGAGGTTTGTGGAAATCTGAGAGACGTATAACATACGCCCAGAGCCTGTCGTGAAAGGAGCGGTCTGCGGCGTCCGCTGCTGGGAAAGAACGACAGGGGAAGGAGTGACCAAAGGGGGCTGAAAGTTCTTCGCGAGGTCGAGGCTGCGAGTGGCGCCGAGAGTGGACAGCCATCCCGCGCGAACAACGCGAGCCGGTGCGTGCGAGACGTCGAGATACATCTCGGTAGGAAGCGCACAACTTTCACACAGGAACACAAGACTCGAAGCGCCTAAGCTCCTGTGTCTCGTGAGACAAATCTCCTGTTGTGCTCGGGAAAAGTGATAGGGCACGGTGTATTTCCGAGGGTGTTGATGTAATCAAAAGGTTCAAGCCCAACCGTCAAGTGTTGCCCATAAGGAAGGCAGTCGCATACCTCAAAGAATCCGGACTTTGCGTCATTTCATCTGACAAAGAAGGTGGGTTTTGTGTTTTCCCGAAAAATTCTTTTTTTTAAGGCGCAAGTAGTGATAGAATCAGTAGTCGATATTAGGCTAAAAGTTTCACTCGAATCTGTTCGAACAGCTGCAAAAAAACTTGCGGAACAGTCTTCTGTTGCATGATTTGGTCAAACAGATAATGAAAACAAATAAACTGGGCTTAGACATGTTTTTAGTTGCAAGACGCATGAGGATGGCATGTCATTTCCCTGTTACTATTTCGGAAAAGGGTTGTTGGTAAAGAAGTGTGGTGCTTTTTCTGCAGGAAAAGCTAAATTTCGTTCAAATTATTGACCCATTTCACACAAAGAATTCTGAGCAGATTGTGATTTTTAGTGTCGAATGCGAAAGTAGTGATTAAGGCGTTGTCCATTGATGCGAAAAATTTGCACTATTTTGTTCCTCGTGATATCCTTCTAGGAATTCCCGAACAGTGTATACTTTAACATGGGGCAGTGACATTTCAGAAGGCTTGTAATATTTTAATGCGACTTTTTATTGGATTTATTGGCTCTATACTTAACATCCACATTTTTTAATTGGAATGAGACCACTTATATCCAAAAACAGATTATCTTTATTAGTTCGGCTATTGAATTTGTACACAATGGTATTTTCATGGCCCACTTGAATCGAATAATTTATCAGAACTTGTTAGGAACTAAGGTTTAAAAAAATCTTCAGGTCTGTGGACGATTATTTGATACTTTTGAAATGTGATGCTAAAGAGTTTCTAAGTTGTGCTGATTGGACACTTGATGTATTTGGGACGGTTTGCCAGCCTTTGAAACTCGCACATAAAATGCATGTGTGAACACGCTCAGGTTCCTTAATGTTTCGTTGAAATTTCAGGATGACCACGTTTGTTGACTGTATGAGCCCAGGAGCAAAAAGCCATTGTTTCCTTTCTTTTCTGCACATACTAAAGTAGTCAAGAGGTCTGTCGCACGTGTGTGCCTTTTAAATTCCATAAAGAAATCGTGTTTTTACCTCACGAAGAAGAGCTTTTTAGCAACAGGTTTTGCGACTGCAGGCAGCAGGTTACACGCAACGATTGGTTATAGCCGTCGCGGAATCACTGTATAGGGACCTGAATAAACAAAATAGGCAGCGTAATGACACAAGTCTGATTGATCACGCTTATTAAGAAACGAATGCGTCTCGCTGACTTGCGCGAGTTACGCCGTGTGTCTGTCTTTCTGTCTGTCCGTGATCCATCTTTTGTTCCTGTCTTTTGCACACCAACAAGAAATGCATGTGTCTCGCTAACTCGCCCGCGCCTGAAGTGATTGGGAGGTAAGCGCAGCCTATCTAATACGGAAGGCAATATTGCCCTCATAACTGTATGTACTGCAAAGGAAAGAATGTTCTACACGTGTCTATCCTAAGTCGGCAAGAGCATGATATTATGAATTATTTCCGACAAACAAAACAAGAACGCTTGGTGTGTGTGTATAAAACGCTAATGCAACGTCCGTTTATCGAAACTGTGCTTTATGATGCCGATTTTACCATTTTAATAACAATAAGGGAACAAGAATATATCGCAGATAGAATTTTTTTTTATCATCGTCTTTCCCAACTACGTCAGTGCCTAAGCATTCTCCAACTTGATCTATTTTTCACCTCTTTATCCCGACGATAGGGCAACGCCGGTTGCTCGATCTGATTATTGATTGATATGTGGGGCTTAACGTCCCAAAACCACCATATGATTATGAGAGACACCGTAGTGGAGGGCTCCGGAAATTTCGACCATCTGGGGTTCTTTAACGTGCACCCAAATCTGAGCAAACGGGCCTACAACATTTCCGCCTCCATCGGAAATGCAGCCGCCGCAGGTGGGATTCGAACCCGCGACGTGCGGGTCAGCAGTCGAGTACCTTAGCCACTAGACCACCGCGGCGGGGCTGCTCGCTCTGATTATTCTGATCCGCCTCGCCATTAAGCCTGCGACGTTGAAAAGCTCGCGGGCAGCCGGTCTTGTAGTGTACTCATACCACGCGCTCTTCTACGCAGGAGGATCCCTGGACGCGTCCCGGCTGACGCTGCGGCCTGCCGGGCCGCTCGACCTGGTGGACGCGGGCACCCAGGTGGACCTCTCGGCCGACACGATCGCCTACGACTCCGACGATGACATGATGAAGCGCAAGATCAGCGCGCTGCGCAGCCGCAAGGGCCACCCGATCTACTCGCGCGAAGACATCCGCGAACAGTACTGCATCACGCGCAAAGAGATTGCCGTACTCGACGACAAAGGTGCCACCACCCGCAGCCTGTTCGGGTGCCTGGCGGCGCAGGGAGCAGCCGGAGGAGGAGGCGGCGGGAGCCCCTGCAACGCGGCGCTCTTCTCGTGCGTCCAGCGCGCCTCGAGCGACGAGAACATTCCGCCGCCTCCGACGACGCAGCAAGGCGGTGGAAAAGACGACGACGACGACTTCGCCAGCTCGGGCTTTCGGCGGCGGCCCAAGCCCTTCTGCTTGCAGGACCCGAAGCTGCGCTTTAGCAACCTCGACGCGGCCGATAGCGACTCGGTGCGCATCGTGGTTCACTCCCGCTCCTTCTCGGCGCGTCCCAGACTGCAGAGTTGCAACAGCTACGGCAGCACGAGCCAAGGCAGCCTGGCGAGCAGCAGCAACCTGAGCTACGTATCGCGCTGCGCGTCCCGACCGTCCAACTTGAGCTTCCAGTACGACGGGGTCACGCTGGGCCAGTGTCACAGCGTGGACGCCCTCAACGATGCCTCCACGTGGAGGCGTCGCAGCGACGGCGGCGTCGCGGTGCCTGACGCGCTTCTCGACGACCGCCGGCCGAAGCACGTGAGCTTCGACTCGAACGCGCTTGTGCGCAGTAACACCGTGGCCGGCGGACTGGAGGACGTCGAGCTCAGCCTCGGGGGACCCGCCGCCACGTCCACGCCGCTGGGGCGCCGCGCCGTATCAACGCCGGACGGTTCCCAAGAAAGGCTCTTGGACGCTCGTCATTACCAAGATTCTTTCGAGAGAGCTTCGTTCGGTCGCCGACGGGCTCTGGTGAAGACGCAGGCCACGCAAACTGAAACCGTGTGCAGGACCAAGGCGTCGCTGCCCGCCTACCTCACCCTGTCACCGCGGGCAGCGCGCGGAGCGAAGCACAAAACAGCCCGGCGGCGTAAGGTCAAGGACGCTCGCCGGGCTGGCACGTCCGTGAGTGACGACAGCGACGACGACGTCATGGAGGTCGACCTGGTGAGCAAGCAGCAGAGGCTACTTCCATCTCCCAAGCCGCATAAGCAGGGAAAAACCAAGCAAGATTCGTTGGTCACCAATAAGTACGAAGATGGTGGCTTCCAAGCGAAAAGTCCCCGCACTAAAGGCCAGATGGAAGAACTCAGCAGGGCACTCTGTAAGATTGACCTGCTGAGAGAAACCAGGGGCAGTTCGAGGCCTGCTCCCGTTGGCCACGAGGACGCCATGGTAAACAGTAGGCGAGATAGTAATTACCATTCAGGACCGCGAGTGGAACATCAGTCGAATGTCAATCTATGCCCATCCAAGGAATCCCATAGGAGAGAAGAAAAGCGAAACACTCACCCCGCGCAACCTGAGGGACTCACGTCTCCGGAAAGCGAGTCGTCTAGCAGTCAGTTCACTGAGCGCGAATCCTCGCGGAGCGAACGTTCCACCAGCAGTTCTGGACCTGCCGTGGCGGCCAAACTGCGAGAGGCAAACGCAGATGCCGGCCGGCAGGACACGACCAGCGAGAGCACCTCTGAATACGTCACGGCCACCGAGCACTCGGCAAAAGCACGGGAGTCGACGGAAACGAGTAGCACCAGCCAGGCCCGCCGCGACGGCACTGACACGTCCTTCGAAACAGCGTCGTCGGCGAGCCTTTTCAGCTCACCTTCGTCCAGGAACGGTGCATGTACAAAAACTCCTTCTCCCAGGGCCTCCTCGAGGGACGTGACTCACGATCCGGACGAAGCGGCCATGTCTTCCGAAGAGACGGAGAAAGGCCACAATGACTCCTCGGACGAATCGACCAAAAAGGAAGAGCAACTTCTCTCATCAGAGTCCGGCGAGTACTCACTCGGACGCGCAGAAGGAGTCGATGATGAAGATGAAGACAGGACAGACAAGTCGGACGACGAGGAAGGTGCTTTAGAAAGAGACGCCGACAGCAGACCCGCATCTCAAGCCGACGAGTTTTCCGAATCCGACGCGCCACCCCGCCAGTCGCCCGATATGATGCGCACGGCGTTCTTCGAGCAGGGAGGGCCATGCTCGTCCCAAAACGATGAAGACCCCGACGACATAGAGCCAATGATGATGCCCTTGATGACGTTCCGAGACGTCCAGAACGCAATCAGTCGCTCGGAAATTCGACAATACGACGAGCTGTCCACCGTGTCCGAGGTGTCCGAAGAAAACAGCAACTCTGACCAGCAAATCACTGAACGGTATCAGCCACCGATGCCAGACGTCATCAGCAAATCCGAGACCCCTCCGCCTCCTTTGTCACCCCCACCCACAGAAGAGCGACAGCCGTCTGAGGGACGGGCCGCTCTTGAACAACGCCCACCTTCGGAAGGACGACCCCCTCCCATAGAGGAACCAGCAATGGCAGAGCAAACGGAATCACACGAGTGGCAAGCAGCCACGGAGTGCCTGACACCGCAGTCTCCCGACCAACCAAAAGAACCATTCCACTATTCTTCGTCCGAGTACCTCGACTCCGAAGTGGCAACTCCGAGCTTCGACAGTGCCACGACATCGTGCAGCTTCAACCTGGACTTTCCATCGTCGGCTGCAGCGGAGCTCTCGCTAGACACGACCAGCCACGCGTCCAACGTCTCCACGACCACGACCGACTCGGATAGCAAAAGTGTGGTGGTCGCCGAGAGTGAGTTAGCGCGCAATGACGACACCGACGTGACGGACAGCTCCATGTCGACGAAAAACACGGCACGCCGGCGACCGCCAGAGGCGCCGAGGCAGCAGCCGGATGGCGGCGGCGCCATCCCCAAGCTTCAGGGGGTCGTCGGTAGCAGCGGCAGCGTCGAGCATCGACGCCGGCGGGAGCGCGCCTCTCGCGTCCGCTGGGAGGTGCTAGAAGCTGCATGCTCCGCTCAGGTGGCGACTTCCGTCGAGGACCTCTGGACGCGGCACCGGGAGCTTCAGGGGCGCCGTTCGCGCTCCCTCCCTCGCAGTCCCGAGAGCAGGGGCCGGGACTCGGTCGTGTGCAGCCAGTGCGGTGATAGAGTGCGCGAACACCGCGTTCCCGGGCCCTACTCTTGGGAGCGGCCGCTGAGCAGAGGACTCTGCCTGGACGGGCGCCGATCGGCGCCGTGCCCGGATTACGGCCACGTGCGGATGCCGGCGCCCTACCCTGCGGCCGACTTTTACGACGACGATGACGACGACGAAGACGCTGGTAAGCTGTGTTTGTGTGTAACACGAATTCTTTCTGCGCCTCCAGTTATTTTTGTCGGTTGAGATAAGCGAAGAAAAAGTGAGGGTGGTGGAAAAGGCGAGTGGAAGTCGCCTGTTGACGTTCAAAAGTGAGCGTGGCTAAACACCACATTGAAGGGAGCTTGAGGGAAGCTCGAATTAAAAGAAGGGAGCAGGGATGGGTGACATCAGCTTGGTGGCCAGATTTAGCAACTGACGGGCATTTCGACCTCTCTGGCTTGCGTAATCCGCCCCTTTTTACGTAAATGTGTGCCATGATATGCCGTGAAATGATTTGCATGTGTTTAATTCGTTATCCGACTAGTGTACAAGACGTCAGTTTGTACAAGGTTACATTATGGAACCAGTGCGTAGTTTTGGTGTTCTGCAGTATGCCTAATTTTCTCTTGGCTGCGCCAGCGTACGACGTCCGTCACCAGCGGCGGCACGTGTGCCATTCGTAAAAGAGCAATAGCGTCTGCGGGTTAGTAGAAATTGTTGCTTAATTGTGTGATATGGCTTCATGTGGTGGCTGAAATACTACTGAATTTGTGTGCGAGCAACACTGTGCAACGTCCGAAGCACCTAACAGCAAGTTCCCGCAATATAGGCATCATCCGGAGGGGTACTTTTAGATCTGCAGCGCTATGCCTGAGGTAGCATCAGAAGCCTTAACATAGGCTTCAGCAAAGTAATCACAAACGTTGTTGTTGTTGTTGTTGTTGTTGTTGTTGTTGTTGTTGTTGTTGTTGTTGTTGTTGTTGTTGTTGTTGTTGTTGTTGTTGTTGTTGTTTACTTGTATATCTGCGTTTTGCTGGAACAAGGCCATTTACAAGTTTCCTCCGCTTTTGTAACATTTCTCGATTGCTCTCAGTGGTATTCATTTACGCGACACGTGCCTACTGTTAAAACTTCTATGTCGTTGTCGTTTTTTTTTCTTTTCAGGTATTCATTCGAGAAGTTATAGACAGACAAACTGGCTATATATTAACAGTGAACACGAAATGTTGGCGTGGAGACAGCATCTCAGGGGTAATTGTAAGTATATTTAAATCATTTTTCTAACAATTCTTTTGATTATTCAAGAAAATAGTACGTAAATTGATTAATTAGACGTAACTTGTTAATGTTCATCGTCAGTTGACCAAACTTTATTACAAGTGAGAATATGAAATATCATTATTAAACATCAATATTGGTAAACAGTACTACATAGGCTCTGATCTCCAAAAACAGTATAATACACCAAGTAAACGAGTTTCCTTAGTGAAAGGCTTCAATGTTGGTTGTTGTTTTTTTTTTTTCGCTGATCGCGTTCTTATAGCCGCTTCTGTTTTTCCATTACGCTGCATCATTTCGCTGCAAGACGTGTCGCTCCAAAGCTTCGCCAGTGTGAACAAACCCTCTAGCTGCGCATAGCAGTTTTACTAATGAACTCTACATTTGTAGACCGGCGCGACAGATTTTTACTTGATTTCGTTTCGTACAAATTAGGCGCTTTACTGGCATCATCGTTGAGATGAAAGGCGCACCAGACGTATGAGAAACCGCGCTAATTACGCCAATTCTGAGCTAGTTCCGAGTTAAGAACACATCAGAAAGATGCCCCGCCGTGGTGGTCTAGTGGCTAAGGTACTCAACTGCTGACCCGCAGGTCGCGGGATTCAATCCCGTCTGCGCCATCTGCATTTTCGATGGAGGCTAAAATGCTGTAAGCCCGTGTGCTCAGATTTGGGTGCGCGTTAAATAACCCCAAGTGGTCGAAATTTCCGGAGCCCTCCACTACGGCGTCTCTCGTAATCATATATACGGCTATTTTGGGACGTTAAACCCTACATATGAACATCAGAAAGATGGCACTAAGCATAAAAACAATTGTGGTATGCATTGGACGGCTCTTATCCACGTAAACTCATTGCAGCATTTATTGTGGAACCAGAGACGGAAGATACATGCGGGTCGCGGCCTCTGAAACAATCAAACAAGAAGTATTTTACTTTGTTTTATTTGACTTTGGCATAAGGGTAGTTAGGCGCTGTGCGATCGCTGTGACAAACTCGATCGGCAAAGCAATTAAGAAGGATAAGCAGCCCGAAAATGACATATGGCCGGACTAATGAGCTTGAGGGCGCGTATATAATATGATTGTGTCTGGGACAGAGCAAACTACCTCTGCATTATGCTAAGTGTAGCGTTCTTTTGCGAGCCCATGGCAGGAATGAAGGGGCCTTTTTTTTTTTTTCAGCGTTATCCTTCATTTAGCTCACTTGCTTTGTAGAGCACCCTTTGTTAACTTCATAGCATGACGAATTTCGTTGAATGTGTGTAATAACTCTGAAGATCCAATTAAGTACTAAGGCGACGTACAATATCTGTGTGGTTTTACGATGTCATAAAAAAACGCAATGGAGGCCTTTGAATTTCAGCAGGGTTAGTTTAGTTAAGTTTGGCTTAGTTTAGTTAGTTAATTAGTTAGTTAGCTGGTTAAATAGTTTGTTAGTAGTTAGTTAGTTAATAGTTAGTTAGTTAGTTAGTTAGTTAGTTGGTTAGTTAGTTAGTTAGTTAGTTAGTTAGTTAGTTAGTTAGTTAGTTAGTTAGTTAGTTAGTTAGTTAGTTAGTTAGTTAGTTAGTTAGTTAGTTAGTTAGTTAGTTAGTTAGTTAGTTAGTTAGTTAGTTAGTTAGTTAGTTAGTTAGTTAGTTAGTTAGTTAGTTAGTTAGTTAGTTAGTTAGTTAGTTAGTTCATCTCAAGGTATAACACTAAATATTTCTGTGGCAATGACGTGAGTTTAACCACTATAATCACTTCAATGTGTAGCCTCATTTCCTTATTATTCTAAATAACGCGCATACCTGCGCGTCAGAAGAAACCAGCTAACTTATAAAATATGCGATAGAAGATGTTATCAAACGAAAATGCCTGTACTCACTTTAACGTGCTTTCGCTTTCTACTTCAAGCAGCGAGGAGAACTAGGAAAGGTGAGTATTTCAGTGCCCTCAATAAAGTGAGCTATTTGTTTGTAACAGTTGTACGAGCTATAGCTGCATATATATGTGTGTGCAAAACAACTGGTACACACATGCCCATACCAGTCTACAGGGTGGTTGCGTTTTGGAAGGTGTAAGAATATTTACTGGGAGATGCCGAGTGACAATATACTGAGGAAACTGTAAGAGTAAAGAAAATGGACACTAATAAAATGAACAGTCTTGTTATCTCATAAAACCACTTGCTGTGTAATAATATATGCACGTGCGCTTCTGAAACAGTACTGAGGCCCGACGGAAAGTTAAGAGTAAATCTATAGAATTTGCGGAATATTGATGAAGAGTATCTTCAGGAATGCCTTTTTGTTTTGGTAATAAACCTGCGACAATTTTGATTCCTTTGACATGGCGCATGCAAGAGCAAGACATCGCTTTTGTCTTGCATGCAAAGCATGCTAGACAAGAGTGATGCATAGACGCCCATGCTAGCGCTGTGTGTCTCGCTATTCGCCCCGTCTTGGATGCGCTACGCCAGTGGTATACTTAATATGACTCACCAATACGCCAAACGACCTGCCTTGATTGATTTCGTTTTTCATTAACTTTATTTTATCACATTTTCAATCATGTGTGCGTGGTGCTCATTAGCATGAACGATAGTAAAGAGCCAGGACTGCTCGCAACGCGCAGCGCAATAACAGCGAAAGCTGAATCTCTAGAACCTTTTTTTTTTTTTTAACTGTTATGGCTATTACTACTCTTGCAATGCACCCGCTGTGCCTTAAATCACTATCTTTGTGAAGGTGGCAAGTTAGTTCTCTCGATGCCGTTATTCTTCACTCTGCAGAGAAACGAGGCACCCGCTACACATCTGTATGACGTTGCGTACGCCTTCTTCGCACGGTGCCTGACGACAATTCAGAATTTGGAAACCGAGCCCTTTGCGATGTGGTGCAAGCTTTAACGAACCACTATAGTTACCTACATAAATCGCACTGTGTGACGCCCTCTCGTTATTTTACTCTTGTACCACGCTATACTGACCCGTGTCTACACGTGGACGAAAACGATGATGGGGGGACTTAGCGGACACCAGGTAGTTAGCCTTTGGCTTTACACGAGAAGGAAGAAGACAATCTTGCGGCTCGGCTGTTGAGAACGCGCTGTTTTCGCTGTCTCAAGGCGTACCTGTGCTTTGTTCGCGTTGTACCGCGACAATATTTCATATGAGAGCATGATTCTTTGGCAACTAACACAAGAACCCTTCATGATATTAACTTTGCATGTTGTCGCACTGTAGAAGCGGATCACCGATGTAACGTAGAAAAAAATAAGCGCCTAATTGAGATCTGCTTCACCAGGTGCCGCAGCAATCCCAATTGCTCACAAAAAGGTCATCTGCTCTTTCATTTTTGTTCTCTCTCTCTTCCAATAAGCTAATTCTATTAATGTCCACTAACTAGCCTGCCAGTTAATTGGGACATTAAGCCAAGAGTCGGCTACCTTTCGGGGTAGCTACGGAGGTAACTACCTCATGCCGACTTTCGAGGTAACTACCTTATGCCGACCTTTTCTTTAAGCATTCTTGTGCTCCTATACCGTATATGTATCCAACATAGCTCTTAACTTGAACCAGAACATCGATTTAGTTCCGGTTTTGTTTGCAAGACGGCTTTGAGGGAACATTCGGAAAACTGGAAGTAAGTGCTAGACCGGAGGTGCTTGGAAGAGGAGCAAAAGCGCGATTCATTGCTCGTGCCCCTAATGAACACTTCATCTTTTCTCCTCCTCGCGCAGAGAGCAGCAGCAGTAGCGTGCTGTCGGACTCTTCGCCTTCGTCCTCGTCCTCGTCCTCACCGGCGCAGAGCCGCTCGAGCTCGCCGGAATCGACCGAGTCTGAGCGCGAGTTCCAACGCCAGTACGTGACCCTCACGCATCGCATGATCCACCGGAAGGCGAGCCTCGAAATGTACCGCCGCATCGCGCACCGCTGCTTTGGTGAGTCGGCAAATCACAATACATCGGCCCATTTGGTGAAGGGGCGCAGGCTTAGAACTTGTATACACTATAAGAAAAAAAGAAAAGCCATTCGGCTCATTTTTCTGTCGCAATTTTTTTTTGTGAGCCCACGCTTTCCACGTGTGAGGGTGGCCGAGAGAGGGCGTTACGTGACGGCGTCATCATCATCATCGGGACTTGGCCGAGAGAGGGCACTACGTGACGGCATCATCATCATCATTGGGACTGGAGTGGTGGGGATTGCGTGTGTGGGGAAGGGGGAGTTCAGCCTGGTTGGGAAGAGTAGCAAGACGTAGCGGTGTGTTGTGTGCGATTTAGGGTTAGCGCGTGACACACGCATGTGGCTCCCTTTAAAAAGACGCGGGTGAAGTCTAGGTAATTACACTCTCGTCGGAGAGTCGTAAGACACCCTAAAGAGAGTTGGCGTGTCATCTTAGTCATATACGCAGGAATTCAGCGCCCGCTAAAAACAGTAACATATGCCTATTGTTACTTGGAGTGTGCATCAAGCATAATAACAAAGTGATTGTCCTTGAATCATTATGATGTGAACCGGTACATATACGAGCAAAGCTAGCCCGTGTGCTCAGATTTGGGTGCACGTTAAAGGACCCCAGGTGGTCGAAATTTCCGGAGCCCTCGACTACGGCGTCTCTCATAATCATATGGTGGTTTTGGGACGTTAAACCCCACACATCAATCAATCAATTACGAGCAAAGCTATTTGTCATCAGCTAAAAAGATGTTTTATTCAAGGACACGATGTAACGCATTGACACTCACCGTCACAGTCTCTTATAACAGTACGCTATGGACCTATACTTAGGTCGATTCACAGTTGTATTTGAGTCCTGTTTCTGAAACCTCGCGAGCCATTATACGTCCCTTTGGGAGAAATACATGAGGTGGTGCCATGTCCACACAAGTGCGAAAAAAAAAAATCACCCGATTTTCTCGCGTTCTCTACATCTACCGGAGCAACTGCTGCACGTGTTTCTTTTTAGCTTGCTATAGCGCGATTCCTCCGCAAACACCGCGCGAGGCATTCTTAGGCGACCACTGTGGAGAGGCAGCATACAATATTTACCCGAACGAGCTCCGAGCAGAGCGATATGGCCGAGGTGCTTCATTAAGAACGAGCATGCAGCGCGTGTTCGTCGGTCCCGAGTACTGAATATTTCAGATGTGGCTTAGCTTGGGCGCAACTCCGGTGGCTCGCTCGGCAGTGTTTGTGTCTTCTTTCGGCATGTCGACGGGCTTTTCGCCAATGCTGTCGCTGTTGATCCGTTGTTAGATAAACACGTGTATATGCTCAAGTGCCAGCCCTTGCTGTGCACTAGTTTTCGCCACGGGAATCTTGCGTTCTCAGAAAGTAGGTCAAAGTTAATTAATGGGAGAAGATAAAAAAAATGGTTTCGTAAAAGTAAACTTCTACCTGTGAGCCAGGATTTCCCACAGATATATTTACAAATGACCATCCCGGCGGGAGAGGGTGGGGGAATTATTGCATTTAACAATTCCAACTTGCGTTCTAATAATTGTTCGCGTTTAACGTCACAAAACAGCGACAATATTATGACCCGTAGTGCAGGGCTTCTGAAATTTCGACCTCCTGATGGTCCTTAATGTTCACCTGAGTCTAAATATACGTCTCTCAAGCATTTTCGCCTTCGTATACAAAATGCAGGGATTCGATCCCTCGACCTTCGGGTTAACAGCCGAACACCATAATGACTAAACCACTTTATCAATCAATCAATCAGTTTATTATCATATCATAAAAGGATGTTACAGGGAGTAAAATATACACACGAGGGCCCCAAAGTACACGACTTCAACGGGACCCTCGGTGATGATTACAAATAATAAAAGCACAAGCAGCTGTTAGAATCGTAGAAACAAAAATATACAAAGCAGAATGAAAACAAAAAGGCATGGCAAAAAGGCAGGGGAGTCAACTTGCGTTTTGTAGCACAGACATTGGGGTTGGCGACCCTCGAAACCACCAGGCTACCTGTTCACATTTTTACATGAGTAGGTGCCGGGAGATGTTGTCACTGCACGTGCGTGTAGCTGCTATTTATTAGTTCTTTAAATATTTTTATCGGAGTGGTGGGCTTTGTCGATAGTGGTGGCCGGTGAAGCAGGGCGGTGGGTGACATTTACCGCCGCCCGCCGTGCAGAGAACCCCGCTCCGAGCAGTAATTCTAAAGTACATAATCACGTGTCAGCTGACTTACTGAATGACGTGGGAACGAAGCGTCGTACTTTTGTCTCTCTTGTACTGCATTTTGTGCTCAGTGGTTGTGCACCAGAACCTTTCAGGCACTGTGCCCGGTTGTTTATTCTCGACAGTCGATGCAGCTCTTCGTGTCCCGTTTTTTTTTTTTTTTTTCCTACCGCTGTTTTCCCCCAAGACAAGCAGAAACATAATCACATGATCCCCCCAATGGACGCGGATTCGATCGCGGTGACGCGAATTTCGACGGAAGCGAAATGCCGAAGTCCGTGTACTATGCGACGTCAGTCCGCGTTAATGGACACCGCGTGGTCGAAATATTCGGAGCTGTGCACTACGACGTGGCTCGTAATCATACAATCTACGAAAAAATGCTGAACATTCTGGGAGTATTTCTGCTGCACAGATATAATCGCCACCTGCCTTGCGTATACTTTCCTTGTGTTATCACCGTGGTTTTGGCACTTTCCGGTCACGGGCAGTGTGTGCGTTATCAGTGTGACGTAACATTCTTGATAAGCGAAAAGGCGAGAGCCGTGTTGACAAGAAAGAGAAAACGATCGATACATATGAATATCTCAGTTGAGGTGTGATAAAAACACTCCCGAAATACTAGATTTTTTTCGCATCGTATCGTGGTTTTTGCACACACCCAGAATTGTTTTTTTTTTTTTCATTTTTCATCATCTCGTCTCGTTACCGTCGTTTCTCAAGCTGCGTAGTGCATGAGCAGCGTAATAACTTACCCCCTTAATGTAATAATGCCCGGTTAGCATCTAAAGCTCGCCCCGCCACGGTGGTCTAGTGGCTAAGGTACTCGGCTGCTGACCCGCTGGTCGCGAATTCAAATCCCGGCTGCGGCGGCTGCATTTCCGATGGAGGCGGAAATGTTGTAGGCCCGTGTACTCAGATTTGGGTGCACGTTAAAGATCCCCAGGTGGTCGAAACTTCCGGAGCCCTCCACTACGGCGTCTCTCATAATCATATGGTGGTTTTGGGACGTTAAACCCCACAAATCAATCAAATCAATCAAGCATCTAAAGCTCGACCACGGTTGCTCATGGGTCGTGCGAAGTCTCCCGCAAAAGCAGCCGAATGCTCCGCCATAACTGGAACACTGAGTATTTTCCCAACTCCCAAGTGCTTGTCTTTTCCGAAAGCGTACTAATTGACAGAGTATCAAGGTAAGGCATTAACATGGTTAGCTGTGTTTTTTTTTAACAGCACGGCTAACCTCTTTGGTGGTTCGTCGAGTTTCTGTGTGCCCTACCAGACCTGTTACACTTTGTTCAACCCTTTTCCTTCGTCACGCATGCTTAATTGACGCGTGCGTCACAGCAGCGCCACGTGTTACCTCCATTCGCGCTTGGCCGTAAAGCCTGTCATACTGCATCCCTATTATAGTTGGGGGTTCCGTAAGTGACAGTGCCATTTATGAAACGTAAGCACTCCGTTGAGAACCGGAAATGTTTGCCTATTGCGATGCACTAGTGTACGTGAACTCGGCTGTGAATAAAAGGACACACGCAAAGCACGCTATTAACGTACATGCAACGCCTGTAACACCGGCACGTATAACATGATAGTGTAAAGCATTTTTTTCGTTAGGCCAGCGTTTCTTAAAATAATAATAATAATAATAATAATAATATTAATAATAATAATAATAATAATAATATCAGCGTCATTGTAGCACGGAACACGCAGTGGGAATCAGTCCACGATTCTGGCACATCTTGCAGCTCAGTGTGGAGCTATTTGGTGCTATCGCTATTTGTTTTGTTTTGTTTTTTTAGGAACATGAGTAGCGCATATAGTATTAAGCAGATTGTAAATATCGGATCTCCGAGTGGCGCAGCGCCTCTAAACGTTGTTTCTCGCGAAAAGGCTTTCTGGTGTGTCGTCTCGTAACGACGCCGTTCTTAAAGCAACCGGTGAGTCAGATAACCCGAGCTATTTAAATAAATCCTCTAAGAAGCAGCGATAGTGGCACTCCCGATTCGATTCGAACGAGAAAGCCCAAGCGGTAGGTGACAAATCCTTCTCGCAGAGGCTAACTCGCCAAACAAGCTGTGTATGATGTCCCCATTAGCGTCGTCTTCCTATCCTCTTCTCACTCTTTATATCTACTCCGAATATGACAAATCCCGGCGGAATTCCGCAAGGCGGAAGAAAATTTACCACGGGTAAACGCTGAAATTCACCCGTTTCTAGCGTTCAGCTACAAGCTTCTCGCGCTTCGAACGGGTTGGGGACAGTGTTCTACTTTTGTACCATTAATAATTATAAACTAATTTTGGCACGAAAGTGGCCCGCAACCAGCAGTCAGGAATATCAAAGCGTGTGGAGGTGGAGGGCTTAGGTCGATACACGACTTATCAGAGGTAAACGAGGAAAAAAAGATAAAAAGATATATAAACGTAGCAAAGAGGAAAATCGACAAGCTGAGCGGGGCAAAACGCGTCTCTACTCGGCGGGTCCGTAACCCACTTTCAGACCGCGCGCGTCCTATGCTTACGCGGTACTCTCTTGCGCTTTTCACGCGATAAGAAGCGAAGAAGAGCGACAAGATGAGAGGTTGGAGGGGAAGAAGACAACTCTCGGTGGTACACTTTTCCCCCAAAGAAGACGCCACCCAAAAGCAACGCCCTTCAAAAGGCTGGCACCTCGACGTCTATTCCGCGCGGCTGAACCCGAGAGGCAAGAAAGGAAGCGTGTGCGAATGAGCGGCGGTGCTCGTAAGCGATGGCGACGTTATCTTCTTGCCACGTGCGCCCACACTCCCGCTCGTGCCGTTCCACCTCCGCACCACCCTCACACTTAGGCCTAGTAGAACCCCGGGTCTGCCAATGTCGCAAAGCAATGCGTGCGCCGTCTTACACGGCGGCACCTCGATAATTCTTGCTGACAGCCTCGATGTTGTCATCAGAGCACCGCACGTATATGCCAACAAATTAGATTGGTCGGCCACAGCCGAAATCGATAAGCAGCGCGGAGCACCGTATTCGCCAACCAGAAATACTCCCCTCTCCCATGATTTCCTTTTTGTCTCCTTCGATACTTCTCTAGCCCCTTATCTCCAGCTTAAGAAGGTTTTTTTATGTTGTTTTTAGTGTAGTCATTAGTCCGTTCGTTACAGGCAGACCTTCGCCCGACACCTTCGTGACCCGCCCTTCACCTCTGGCGTGTGGAATCGATTCTGCGAACTTCTAAGGTGTAGGGCGAGATTGGCGACCATCTATGTATATCTGCATATTTTTTTCACCTAGTCTTTTTTTTTTTTACCGGAGCAAACACGTTTTGCGAATGTCCGAGTGTCTGCACGTTGACCTTTGGCGACTCATCTTTTGCTTATTCATATTTAGTTGTTTTCTACATTTACCATTTATTATCTTTCTTCTCGCGCGGTTTGGAAGACGACGATATAAAAGCGCGTCGAAGCCTGCTAAATTCTGTATTGTTCACCGTTCAGGCAAGCGAACATTTTGTGCCCAATTTTTGTCTACCGAGCACAGCCTTTTCGTTATGATATATATATATATATATATATATATATATATATATATTATATATATATATATATATATATATATAATGAGGAATAGGCGGGCTGGTGAACCAAAGTTCAAGCGTCTGCTTTGCTGCTCTCCACTAAGGAAGGAGAGGGGAAATGCATACGGGAAGACGAGTAGACGCGCAATAGTTGTCGCAAAAGTTCCCGACAAACACAAGGCTGTACAAAGGCACATAGTGCAACACTTCCGCCCTCAATCCGAATTCTTCAATACAAAAATGTGCCCACGCAGCCCCAAAGTTGACACAACAGAGCAGCTGGTGCCACGCCTCACCAACCTCTCCCTTACACACATTTGATTAAAAAAAAAACACTTGCACGAAAGCAGACAAAAAATACAAATACAAATGACGTCGATACGGGTCGGAATACCTCGCTAGTAAACACTTGAGCGAATCGACCAATTGATCCGTGAAACTGTGCCCTATTGTACTGTATATATACTTGGCATTACTGTGAACGCAGAATGCCCTGGTTTTTCTTCTAGAGGCCACTAAGACCGTGCGGATAGAGAAAAGCAACGGGGAGTTCGGGTTCCGGATTCACGGGAGCCACCCGGTCGTAGTTTCGGCCATCGAGAAAGGTGAGTAATCTTCCATAGTGACTAATTAAGTAATTATATGGCCTATTGATTAATTACACTTCTAGTGCGTTTACGCGTCGCAACGCAGCATTCTTACGATGGCACTTGTGCATCTTATATTAACTATCACTCCTGCAATCCGCGCTAGTCTCGCTAACTATACTGCGTATAATGAGTACCGTTACGAATAAGCTATCTTCATAGGGCCCAGAGCATCACATTGTAGGGGCATCCAGAATGGGAATAAGAAAAAGAAAAAAAAAAGAGGATCATTAAAATCGTGCTCCCACAGTTCCCCACTATTTATAGCTGGCCGTGTCTTCTTGCGTAGTATTTCTTTACGGCTCGCGTTTCCACGGGCGCCACTTCTTCATCGCGTTCTTCTTTTGTCTTCGTCTTTGTCCAGTAAACTCCAGTCTCACCCTGTATACAGCGCGCGAGGAAACGAGAGCTTCGTCGCTCCGCTTTCAGCGCACCACCGTTGTGATAGCCACAGCGAAAAGACAAGCACGCGCAAATCGTCGAGCAATAAATCGGAATAAGAAACCACAGCGGCGTGTTTTCGAAGCCGCATCCTCTGCGACAGCTGCATGCATGTCGACGCAACCATTTCGCCGATGAATGATTATGCGCGCTCGGCAAATCGAGCAGGGAATTCGCGGACGCGGCGTTCTTTGATCGGATGGCAAACAACATGGCGTTCACTCGTAGAAACACGGAGGAGTTCCATGTTGAGAAAAAAAAAACATAGGGGGTGCTTTTGTACCCTACTCGAAACAAAGCAACCATCTTAGTGGAGAAAAGGTCACGCCCCTATTTCACGTCTTATATTAAGGAGGGGAGATTAGGAAAGCTGATAGTTAACCAAGGGGTCGAATCTGATCTCACAGGGGTGAATGAGGATTGATTGATTGGTATGTGGGGTTTAACGTCCCAAAACCACCATATGATTATGAGAGACGCCGTAGTAGAGGGCTCCGGAAGTTTCGACCACCTGGGGTTCTTTAATGTGACCCAAACCTGAGCACACGGGCCTACAACATTTCCGCCTCCAACAGAAATGCAGCCGCTGCAGCCGGGATTCGAACCCGCGACCTGCGGGTCAGCAGCCGACTACCTTAGCCACTAGATCACCGCGGCGGGGCATGAATGAGGATAGGGTGGAGACTGCTAAGAGAGAAATGGAAAGTAGCGCACCTGCTCATGCACGTGATAGTTTTTAAATGGCCTTTATAAGGTCACGGAAAGGTCACCCGTACACACTCCATCGTGTGCTGCACAAGGGGTTTGATATAATCAGCACATCAGAGCTTTTTCGTCTAGGCCCGGATGTACTTATCAGTTCCAACGAGACCTGATCGAAACTGAATTTGAGGGATGCATTTACGCTTCCGTTATGGTGGTAGTGTTTCCACGGCTGCTTTTTATCAGTAGATCTACTGATTTTTTAAAATTTCTGCTGAATGAGTGATAAGGTGTCTGAATCTACTGACTTTCTGTGTTTTTCTACAGAAATGATCAAAAAATCTGCTACTTTCTCAGCGTCAAGTTTCATTTGACGTAGTTCCATTTGTGGGGACGGAAAAAAGAATCAAAAGCTCGCTCAGATGACACCACATAATCATTGGGAACGCTTGGGCGAGATTTTCGTAATCACAGATTTTTGTAATCGCACTCAGATTTTTTTAATCGATTGACATTGCGCAAGAATTTTACTGCGAATATTTGAGCCAATGAATTTTTCAAACGGGCAACCTTAGACCGCAGCTAGACTATTAGAACAACGTACTTGTTTTCATGCTACGCTCCCGTTTTTATCCTTTGCCACTTCTCTCTTTTTCTAAGTATGCAGAATTTACAGAACTTGCCCACAGATGTGACATTCAGGCTGTGCTATTACGAAGAGCTTTTATCGCTCTGGGGCACTCTCCCTGGAATGTGGAGGGGTGCATACACGTAGAGGCAGAAAATTATTTTGTGCATGAAAGTCAATGGAAAAACATTGCAACACGATGGAGACATTGATTGGCTACGTGGTATATACTTCCAAGGCAAACAGTGCGTAAAGACGTACGATGAAGAATCGGCGATGGATATGTTGTAATGTAATGATTTTCACCTCTAACGTCCTAAAACCACGACATAAGAAGGACACCGTAGTTTAAGGCTTCAGAATATTTAACCACCAGGGTTTTTTAACGTGCAATAAATCGAAGCACCGGGATGTTAAACACTCTTGTAGGTGCAGATCCAAGTAGCGGGTGAAGATGTGCGGAACCGCCTCGTCTTCGCTTTATTGTGAACTTCCGAAGTCCTCTTCCAAGAAGAGGATCTGCTAAAGGGCCTCCCATTACTCACCATGCACCTCCAATGAGTTGATCCCTTCCCTGAAAAATCTTGTAGCCGCACCTATCTGCAAGTGGCACTGCCAAACTCCCACTATGTCCGTCTTCTTCAGAAGGCGGTTCATCGTGTCTGTTGTCACACCTAAAAAAACTAAATTACCACGTGCTGCTTGCCATCAGGAACCTTTGTATATTTAATCAGTCTTGAATCGTGCTAGGTTCACATCTTCGGGACACCCGTAATCTCGGAGTCATTATATTGACTGACTTATCAAAGCTAGAGCACTCTATGATAGATTACAAACATCAGCACTGAACTTGCGATGCCAGAAACTAAGCGCGAAGACTAAAACTTAATGTCCACAGATTTCTACTGATATTTCAAGAAAACATCTGCTACCATAGTTTATTAATGGCGGCAGCACTGCATGGAGACTTAGTGACTGAGTAGGTGCCTCGGGATGTTAAGGCACGAGTGCGTGGGTAGGCAAAGTTAAATGGCAGGTGGTCAGAGTTAACCGTAGGTCCAAACTCTCCCCCCCTCCCCTACCCGCGCCGTCTAAATTCAATGAGCCTCATAATCATATCGTTATTTCAGAACTTAGAACTCCTGAATTAAAATATTGTTAACAGTGTGTATGCGTCATCTGGAGGCGTCCACGCCAAAGCAGACAACGAGCAAGTCTGCAGGTGGCAATAGCAGCAGCACTTATAACGACAACTATAGTGTAGCTTTCCTGTTGCATGTCCGTTTTCGTTGGATGAATGGTGAGGATGTTACCGTAGGTACCAGCAAATTCCACAATGTCAGCTTCCCTTTTCTGCGTTGACTTCCTATACTCTAGCGTAACACTAACCATGTCTCATCACCTATGATTAGCTTTTCGGTTCATTAGGTCTTTAAGCGAGACCCACCCATTACGTGACTAGACATGCGCCGAGGAAATGCGGGAGGGCATCGTGGAGTAATGCGGAAGCTAATCATAACGATAATCAAAAACTCCCACTTATAACAAGAAGTTCTTGGATAACTTGTCTTCCCCTTTTCTTCCTTGAAGAAGGCGCACTGTCGGTTACGACACCTGAGTGAAAGGCGTATACAAGGCGTCACTATTACGTTTACTTGAAAGCCACCTTACGGGAAGTGGACATCTTTGGTTGTTTGGGCCACATAGCCTGATTCTTAACCAGAAACCGACTCTCTCTTCGACCGTAGCGTATATAGGCTGCTTGAAGTCACATTTTGATGGAGGCGATATGCATGCATGTTAGAGAAACCCAGGTTGGCGAAGCTTCCGGGGACTACGGAGTCTCTGATTCGGGACATATCATTGTTCTGGGACCTAAAACCCTAACAGTCGTTAATTAGCACTACTACGTTCTTATTAAAGATCCACCCGCCGAGTCATGTGACTCCCACGTTGACACGGCTTGAGGCGCGTCGGTCAAATTCAGGCGCGCCTATAGCACTCATTTCCTGCTGGGTGGATATTCAAATCCGCGCTTCGGCTTATTAACATGCCCGATCTAATCAAATTCATTTGTTTGTTTTGTTCCTGCTACTTTCGCTCACATCTATATCAACATACACTTTTCCTAGATCCCCTTCCCCCCCCCCCTCTGCAGCCAAAGTCAACTAATTCTGAGTGGTCGCCGCACTGTTTGCTGGACATTTAATAAGGACAGCTCACACGCCCTGCCATCGTAGACTTCTTCTTTTGTGAACATTTCCTTTTTCTTTTGCCGTTGACTCACTGCGCTTTCGATGTGAGTGCAGCGGTGGTCGGGAGGCCTCGATTCATTATGCAGTGCATAATGAATTCACAGCGCCAGAGTACTCTCTTTCTTTCATTACAGTTGTTTGTTTTTCTCGTCCCGCCGTGCGAGTCCAAGCACCAACGTGTTATCACACACACACACACACACGCGCACACACACACACACACACACACACTACTCTCACTCTCACTCACACACACTCACACACACACACTCACACACACACACACTCACACACACACACTCACACACACACACTCACACACACACACTCACACACACTCACACACACACACACACACTCACACACACTCACACTCACACACACACACACACACACACACACACAAATTCTGGTGAAACCACGAGCTATGCATGATGGTTTCGTTTTTTCTTACTTCTTCTTTCACTGACCCTTTCTTGTCTTTTTATCTTCCCCTTTCGCGCCACTTCATCGACTGATAACAAATGTATATCGCACGTCCGTTGTCCACGTTCGGTATCGATCATTTATATTTCAACGCGTCGTTCTGTTTTCTTTATCATCACGCGCGAGGAGCCTCACGATAACAAATTTCGCTCGCTCGACTCGCCGTCGATTCTTTTCTGTATCACTTGACCGGTTCTCTCTACATGGATGCACACGTACTTTTTTTTTCAATCCTTACATTTCTCCGACGCGCCTTCTCGTTGAGTTTGTGCTCCTTCCTTTCACGCATTCCTGATCTAAAAGTGTTAATACGTCGCTGCAAACTGGCCGCTCGCGCTCTCGCTTGCATGGAATGAGCAATCTGCGTCTTGCGTGTTCCCTGCCCGGAAACCCTCTCACGCTCGCCTCCTGCCTAGTATGCTAGTATTATATTGCTATGTACGAAA